GAAAAGAGCATAATATCACATAACTCAGTAAGCACATAAGACCCTCCGATCGCACAAATATTACCACTCTAGGTAAAGTATAGTGAGAAGACTCACCTCGTAAGTTATCAAGTAAAAGTCTCGTACTCGGAAATCTCAAACTATACTCTGCCTAACACATAGGATAATTATTTCTAATTAATACTCTACTCATACTCAAATACACCAAAGATTGCTCTCCCTTTCTCTCTAACTCTTGGAAGGGGTAAAAGACAATTTTACCCCTCCATGGTCTCCATTACTCATGTTGACCAAACCCTAAAGTCAATAGAAGTCAAGCTCGAGTCAACAGTCCAAGTTTGACTTGACTTACCGAGTGCACTCATGTGAATCGTCGAGTCCACTCTTTCCTCAGAAGTTTCGTGAAGGTCTAGCTCGTCAAGTTAACCCCTAACTCGTTGAGCTTTCGCATGGCCCAGCACATCGGGACAAACCCTAATCGACTCATCGACTCGGCGAGTCCATTCAGACTCATTTCATATTTAGACGATTTCAAGGTAGAAAAACCTCCCACGCTCTATATCAAAACTCTCAAGGCTCGTTTATCACGTAAATCCACGAGATTTACGTTCATGCATGGCTTTTAGGGATTCAAATGCCAAGAACATGCTCTATTAAGGGTTTTCACTCAAAGGCTCTATTATGGTTGAATAAAGCAGGGACCTTTGGACTCTAGGGGGCCTCACAATGTCCAGATCAGATGTCCAAATCTCTATATGTACTCAATACCCACAAAGTCCCAATATTAGATGAAAAAAGCCCTAAACTCCAATAATACGGGATCTACCCGATAAAATGAGAAAGGTATGAACTTTTCACCTTTCATAAAAGCTCTTGGACGAATAGCAACAGATCTAGCAGCCTCTTCTTGTTCCTTGCTTGAAATTCATTTCTTCTCTTCCAAAGATGCACCAAAATACTCAATATTAGCTCAACACTCTCTCTATTATCTCAAAGGGCGATTAGGGTTTCTCTCAGTGAAGGTAATTAGTTGATGAGCCGAAAATGAGGCTATAAGTGTGCTTAAATAGGCCCCAAACTCAAGGGTTTAGGATTTTACCTCACAGCGTCTACTCCACGAGTCGACTCTCTGACTTGTCGAGTAGATCATTAATCCAACGTGGCTAAACGCGACTCTACTCGACATGTTGTATCACCAAATCGTTGATTTGCCTAATAGTCAATAAATAATATACCTGGGAGTCCGGATGTTACAACAGTGGTCGGTATCGTGCTAATTCCTTGGTTGATGTCACTCCCAAGTTGTTCCCACGCAACCAGGATGTTGTCGACCTACTCAAGAGCATCCATGTCACCCCTGAGGATTGCTACGAGGTGTTGTTAGCCGGTGTGGGGATGATCCATTCTTGGAGGTGGCAGGGGGAAATGACGATCTTTTCCTCCATTGTTGATTGTGAGTCGTTTGCACTGTATCCCCCGCCCCCTTCTATCCTTTCCTTTTCCTTTTTCCTTTTTTGCTTTCTTTCCTTTCTTTCCCTCTGTTATGTGCATATAGAAGAGTTAGGCGTTAGTGTGCTTAATCCTCACGTTTGGTTGTGTTTTTTCTTAGTGTCTTGTTTTTGCTGGTGTTGAGTCCCTATTATCCATGAATGATGTGCCGCAGAAACACTACCAAGGAAAGTTGAAGCATCGGGAGGTGGATTTGGTCGACAATCTCCCCCTTCCCACCATCTTGATCAGTTTCCTTCGTCTGTGGCTGCTCCTCTTCCTCCTGTAGTTGAGGGGGGGGTCGACATTGGTTGGGGGACTCCCTTGGCTTCCCGTCTTATTTCAATCGTCGCTCCCCCAGTCGGCACCCACTTTGGTTCATCGGACACGGCTGAAGACAACAAGGAGGGTATAATCTTGGATGTCCGTCGCTTGCAGACAAAGATGAAAGCTATCTTGGCCTTGGGGGAAACGGTCACCGGTGCGCTCAATATTGGCAAACGGATTCAGACGAGGCGCAAATTCTCCTGTCTACTGAATTCACTATCCTCGACACCGGAATCAGTTATTGTGATCCCTAATGACGACGTTCAACAATCCGAGGGGATTCATTGGGCGTCTGAGCATCCCAAAGTTCCTGTTTAAGTTATTTCTCAAGTTCTTTTTGAATCTTCCCCTCTCTAGGGTTCTGATGGTGTGGAGCATCCCCGAATTCTGGTGGAGGCAATTCCAGGGACCTTGTTGGGTCCAACATTTTTGTTCCTACCTGGAATCTCAGCAATGTCTCTCGCCTTTCTGTACGTGCCAACGCAATGGATTTTGCACGCCGTACGCTCCATCCCGATGCAGTTGCTGGTATAGAAGCTATGGGTAGCTCCACTCTTTCGCACAACATGTCTTATGCCGCTGTACAGTCCATGTGTTTACCTTGTTGCAGGTGCTCGACGGATTCAGCTGCTTGGTGATATTGAGGCCGCTCATGCAGGATGTGGTGTTCATGAAGTTGGGTTGAGGTGCCAAGTTTCTAAACTTCGTAAGGATATTCAGGGTTTGGAATAAAAGTGCTCATTGCTTGCTGTTGAGAAAGCTGTTGTGGAAGAAGTTAGGGTCGTTCTGTAGAATAAGGTGGATGCTCTTACCCAGGTGAACGAAGGGTTGATGATCCAAAACGACAGCCTTGAACGCGACGTCGATGACCGCGACAAATTAATTGCCACCATTCAGGTGGATGTTGAAGCTACCCGACGTGACCTGGATTGGTTGTTGCACGTGGGTCTTGATCGAGTTGTGGATAAAATGGTTGAGCATCCAGACTTTACCGGTGATGTGAGCCTCATCTGCCATTCCGCTTTCGTTGCTGGAGCAGAGTCTAGTCACAGTGGTTTGATGTCTCAAACAGGTTCTGGCTCCGTCCGACCCAACGCTAGTGCCCCTCAACCTGGCTTTGTTCCTAGCATGAATGATGTTCTTCTTGCTTTCTCTAGTATGGATTATACATATTTACTGGGATTGGGGGATTTGGATATCCAGGGGGTCCGTGGGCTTTGCGTTTTCACTGGCTCTGAGGGTACCCCTAAGGATATGGTGGTTGACGGCGATGAGAATGTTGTTGGTGATACTGGTGGTGGTAATGGCAGTGATGGTCCCGTTAGTGATGGTGATGGGGATGTTGGTGACCGTGTTGGGGGTGGTGAAGGCGATGGTGAGCCTGTTGGTGGCGTTGAGGCGGATGTTGGTGGTGGTGCCGGTGATGGTGATGGTGATGGTGGTTCTGTGAGTGAAAATATTGGTGGTGATGTTGGTTCTGCTGATACTTAGGGTACTAATGTACCGTGTACTGCCCCTCTGAGGTGTGAAGACCTTTGTTAAGCTTGATTCTTGTTATTTTGAACAATTTGTGGGTTTTGGCCTTGTTAGCTTAGCTTTTGTGTTGGCTCTTTGCATATTGTAATTGGCTGTGGCCTTGAGGCGGTATTATTATGTTTGTTCCTTTCCTTAGTTCATCCATGCATGGGAAAACTGTTGTAGGTGCTCTAAGCACTTTTGATTTAGTGCATGAATTTGTGAATGGGGATATCCTTTCATGCAAAAAAAAAAAAAAAAAAAAAAAAAAAAAAAAAAAAAACTATTTAAAAAAAATCATAAAGACCATTTTGTGAAATTTTGTCTAATTAATGTTTGAGTTATTGCATAGTTAATTAAAAGGACCGAGTGGTCCTTTTATATTTCTAAATATATTAACTTTTGCAAACCATTTGGACTGATATTAGAAATTTTGATGAAAACAATTAAACAAATAAAATAGTAAACTATCTTTCAATCATTGGAAATATTTTTATCATTTTTCTTTCTTCGCCCTTTTCTTTTTTTCCTTTTATTAGCAAATGCCTTTTTTCTATTCTTAATATTTTGCTGAAACCACGGGCGTTAAGACACACACGCAAAACTTTGTTAAAAACAAATATAAATGGTGAGCTCAAATTAAAATAGATTTCATGACATAACGTGAATACGTGATAATATGACATGACAACGGATTTGGGGTTTTTTTATCCTATTTTATTTCATAAAATCTCATAATCATGTCTTATAAAATATTGAGATGTTGATATTTTTAATTTAGCGTTTGTGCCAAGTATTGATATGTCAAACTTTTGATCTAAGTCAACCGGTCTAAAATTGAAAGTTTAATCCAATAAGGGTTGGCTTTCTCAAATGAGATGATGTTATAGGTTTTAGTCTTGATGGAAACATAGATATTATAGATATTATAGGTAGGAGATTTTTTTTTTTTTTTTTTTTTTAAATCCCTCAAAATGCCTAAACTTGGTCTTTGTTTGAATAAAGGGTGTTTGTTAAAAACCGAAGGATTTGAAGGCATGAATGACTCAAATGTTTGAACCATTTAAAAATGGTTGTTTGATAAAATCATATGACAAATATATTAAATGAATAAAAAAATTATTTTAACGTTCGAACAAAACAAGTTCAAATAACATATTGTTAACTTAATTCACAAACAAATTAATATATTCAGCGTAAAAAAAAACATATTAAACAAAATCATTATTTATCAAAAATTACATGGCATATCTTCAAATCATTAATTGAAAGCCAACTCAAAATCAAAAATTGAATGACATTATTAAATTATCAAACCTTTAGATCTTCAAAACTCAAATCAAACCGCTTAATCTTTAGTCACTTAATTTTTCAAGTGGTTATATAAGGGAACAAACTATATTTTGTCGGGCCGATTACGTTATTATTACTTTTATGAAAGAGTCAGCCAGTCATATTTATGCCACATGTTTTACTTAAACCACATAGCCTACTGACTGTGTAGTTATTCAATTGTCATGCAATTAAATAATGCCGCGTAATAATTTGGTCACTCGCTATTCATTGCATAGCTTTACGGATTTTAAACCAGACCTTCTTTCGTCGACTGTTCACCACTTGCATCTCTTTGGATAAACTCTTACTTGCTTTCGTCTCCTCAAATCTCAAACATGGATCTCATATTCATCCAAGTTGATGTGCACTTCCAAGGAATCTTCGCCAAATACCCCATACGCTACGCCGGTGGGATTACTCAAAGGTTGTCAGACATCGATTTCGCAGGCATGGACAAGAACAGGTGTTATGAGTTTATCGAAAGGTTCACTAGAGAAAAGTTTGAGAAGCTCTATTACTGCCAACCATATATTGATTTTCCCAAAGGTTTCACCTTAATTTCCAATGAGATGGATTATGTCGATTTTATAGCAATTGCATATGTATGTGGTGTTATACTCCCTATGTATGTAAACCATTTTGATAATAGTAACATGCAAGAATGGTTAGATGAACACATAGAAGAGGTGTTTGATAACATAGGGGAAGAAGTAATTGATGGTGCGGGAATAATTAAGGAATTTCAGCCAGGGCATTTGGATGTGGATGAGGATGACCATGGGGCTGAGGATGTGGATGCTTATGACAATAAGGATAAGGATGACCTTAGCAACCCTCACTTTTTCAAAAAGGATAATGGGCCTGATGTGGACACGGGTAAGAATGCAAGTTTGGGTGAGCCTTTGGAAGAATACATGGATGACAATGAAGATGTTTATCCTGAGTTGCCAAATATTTTCAATGAAAAGCTACAATAGAAGGTGCAGGAACTTGTGTTAAGTATGAGGTTTGAGAGTCCTAAACAATTTAAATACATGTGTTGTAACTATGATGTTGCAAATGGTTATCAATTATGTTTTATGAAAAGTAATAGTAGATGGTTGCTAGCCATATGTTGTGATGGAATATGTACATTTAGGGTTTGGGGTTCATGGATGGGTGATAAACACAAGGTATGTTTGGGCAGTTGTATGTGTGGAAAACATGGAGAATTGGAAGTGGTTCATTGAAAATCTTACATAAGATTTGCAGTGTTGGAATAAAGGAAGTGGTTTGGTTTTAATTTCTAATCAACACAAGGTATGTTTCTAAAATATTAAACATAGTATAACAAATCTTTACATTTCTAACTTCATTATTTTGTGTTACATATGAAGTGTTTGGTTGAAGCGGTCAAAGAAGTATTCCCAGCAGCAGAACATATGCAATGTGCTAGGCATATATATATATATATATATATATATATATATATATATATATATATATATATATATATATATATATATATATATATAGGGAAAAGATCAAATGAGAACACCTAAAAGGTTGAGAACGCGAGAACAAGTATATTCATTTCTGATTCAATGTATTCATTTGTTGAGAAATGATAAATTTTTATGCATAATCAACATGAATATGCTTTTTCTCTTCAATTGAAATTAAATGCGTAAAAATTTATCATTTCTCCACAAATGAATATACTTTGTTCTCGCGTTCTCAACCTTTTTTGTGTTCTCATTTGATCCTACTCCTATATATATATATATATATATATATATATATATATATATATATATATATAACAATTTTTGAAAGAAGTTTAGTGGAGCCAAGTTTGAAAATTTGTGTTGGAGAGCAAGCAAGGAAAAACTGAAACACGTTTTAACATAGTCATGAAAGAGATTTAAAAGTTCAATCTTGAAGCCATTATGCATCTCATGGATAGAGATCCAAAGACTTGGTCTCTAGATTTTTTCAGACTTCACAATTCATCGTGTGAGTCTATGGAGAATGGTTTTTTAGAGAGCTTTAATAGTGTCATTTTGGATTCTAGGAAGAAACCTATTATCAACATGTTAGATGACATTGGTATATATATATGTGATACAAAGGATGGTGACTATGAAACTAACAGGTCAAGGATGGAATCGTTATTCTATTTTTCCAAATATCATAACAACATTGAATATTCTCCAAACTGACCAAATGTTTTCATACTTATTTATTCATACATACATTACCTATCTCAACTCTAAATATTTGCATTACATTTTGTAGGAATTAGCAGGTTGTGTCTTGTAGGGTATGAAGTTTAAAATAAGGAAAATGGATGAGTCATACATGGTTGATGTGACAAAAAAGGAATGCAGCTGCAGGTTATGGAAACTAAATGGCTATGCTTGCGTTCATTTAGTAGATACATTAGCGTTTTTAAACGTTACACCTGATCGACCATATGTAGACCCATTGTACCTGGGAGCCTTCTTCCATAATGCATGTAAAGAGTCCATTAATGGCATGAATGGAATGAACATGTGGCTTTCTACAAACTGTATACCTCAATTTCCTCTATTGAAAAAAAGAATGCCAAGTAGGCAAACCATGAAAATAATAAGGGATGCTTTCGAAAGGTATGGAAAACATATGGTTTCAAAGGCAAGGAAAAAGGTTTCTTATAGCATATGCAAACCAATAGGACACAAAAAACCACTTGCACTCAACTGCCAAGGCCTTTTAAAACTAATGTCACAAAGAAACAAAATGTTATTCAAACACAAGAGTCAGTGAATATGCAAGGGGTGGGGAAGATGATGTTATGGGTGATGCAATTGAGCAATAAGCTAAGGAAGTTGTGAGGGTAAACGAATCTGTGGAAGTGGCAAGGGTTAATGAAGGTGAGGAACTGGGTAGGATTAATGAAGGTGAGGAACTGGGTAGGATTAATGAAGGTGTTAGGCATGTGTATAGTAGAGGTCAACCAATCAAGAGGAAAATGTCTGAGAGAATTCTTAAAATAAATCTCGCTAAAAGGGTTGAAGGTGAAGGTAGTAGTGTTGGATCATCAATGGATTTGGATTAATTGTAATTTTAATTATGTGCATATGTTATGTGGATTAAGTAATGTTATTTATGTGGCTGGGAATAAGGGAATTTACGTTTGTTATGTAAATCTATGTTATACTAATCTTAAGATCTTATATTTGATTCATGTATGTAATTACATTATTGATAGGTACGTTTTATGCACCTATTTTGCATGTTATTTCTGTCATTTCATAGCATTCTACTTCATAATTGCATGTTTCATTTAGAATGACTGGTACTTCACCATTTTTGATTTATTTTGCAGGCATTATAGAGCATGGAACGTGGAGCTTGGATGCATGGATGCATGGCGCTTGGATGCTTGGAGCTTTGGAGCATGAGGAGAAGATGAACCGGTCATTCCATGGCAAAAAGCATGAAGATGGAACCCAAGTCATTGTGCATTGTCATCATAGCAAACGACTACATTTGAAACACGGTTCTTTTCGCACCGACACGGTTCGTGTTTGTCCTTTATCATCTCATAGTTGAGCAACATGCCTCTTGGTGAAGTTTGACCGAAGATGGAGCGAACAGTGAATACTTATTTGTGTTTTAGCAAAAATCATGGGTTACGCCAAAAACACATTGGCAAGACAAATTTCCATGCCAAAAACACATGGGCAAAAGGCATGGCCATGCCAAAAATGCATGGCCTCATGGCATGCATGTGAACATTAATTAAAATAGGAAGAGACGTCATTTTTTGAAGGCGGACGGTTTTTTGAGCAGTTTTTGGTGATCTTGGGTGATTTTGGGAGAATTCTTGGAGGTTTTGAGAAGACCTAATTATTGCAAACACTTTGGATTTCATTTTTGTAAGAATTAAACATTCCAATTCCATCTTTATTCTTGTTTGATTTGTTCTTAGCCATGTGTGGCTAAGAAACCCTAGTTTCTAGTTCTTGTTCAAAACATGTTGATTTCTTGACTTGAAGCATATGATTTGATGTTTTATTTGTGATTCTATTCTAGTGATTATGTTTTTGTTTAAACTAGAACCCTTAAATTTGATTTATGTTTGATTGGCCACTTTCATGAATTGAATTTTTGTGCAGTTAATTAATTTTTAGGACACCTAATCATTCTATTAAGTTAATAATTGGTAACAAGCAATAAGTTTTCTTATTGTAAAACTTATATCACATGTTTTCACACTTCTGAGCGTATGAGTAGAAATGAACATTGTTGGGAAGCTTGTACAAAACTTAATGCAGTTTTTCAATACAATCTAAGAGCGTATTTAGGTTGAATTAGTAAAGCTAGGTCTAGTTAAAGAGCATGTTTTGGTTAGATAATTTGGCAAGCGAGAGGTGTTAGAGCGTGTTAATATCTTTCAGTACCAACTTAGAATAGCAATCTTGAATTACATCAAGTCATAATCAAGTGGAACAACAACATTGAGAACTAGAACTGGAAACACTTTTACAACTTGTTCACAAATCTATTTCATTTTGTGCATGTTTTTAAAGTAGATTGTTATTTTATTATTTCACTTTTGCAAACAAATTCCCCTTCTTGTGATCAAAGTACCTTGCGCAAAGAGGTATAGACTTTTGTCTCGTGTCTCTGTGGTTTGACCCTACTTGCCTTGTACTACTTTTTAGTGCATTAAAGCAGTGTATTTGGACTGTATTGTACCCCTTTATTTGTTGGGTTTGACACGTCTAACAATTATGTATGATGTTCTTTATATTAGTGTGTACGGGGTACTTTAGTCATTACAAATATTTAAACTAGTAGGGGTAGTTTAGTTATTTGAGATACTTAAGGAAGTAATGTTAGTTTAGGGGTAGTTAGTCACTCAAAGTAGTTAATCCAATAGGTGTATGTTATTTCAAGTAGTTAAACAGGTAGGGGTAGTTTAGTCATTTGAGATACTTAGGGCAATAATGTTAGTTTAGAGGTAGTTTAGTCATTCAAAGAAGTTAATACAATAGGTGTATGTTATTTCAAGTAATTAATCAAGTAGGGGTCTTTTAGTCAATTAAAGAAGTTACGTTAGGGGTATTATTGTACTAGGGTATTTTAGTCTTTTAAAGCGGGTAACACATTAGGGGTATTTTAGTCATTCGTGGCAGGTAACCCTGAAGGGGTGTTGTGGGTATTTTAGTCAACATTTTTTTGTGACTTAACTCATTAGGGGTATTTCAAGTTTTCCATTCAATTATCCAAGTGGGCAAGGACAAAAATAACAAAAAAGAACTTTTCCATGGTTTTTCATTTAAGTGTTATAGACAAGGACTTTCCAGTGGTCCTAAGAAGATGCTTTATGTATTATATTCTTCTATTTTTTCCATGTCCCCAAGAGATACATTGGGGCCCCTGTTTTGTTTTTTTAAAAGAGTTTGACTTTATCATGTGCTCCTAGGAAGAACATCAACAAATCTGGGTACTACTTAATCACACTTGCACATTCAGAGCTATAACAATAGTATTTTAGCTTAACCAACATTTCATTAATGGGTTTGCATTATATCGTTACATCTATTAGACAAGTTAAAACAGGATTTGTACCTGCATCTTACTATATATAATTACCGTCACCTATGATTACCAACAGTAAACTCATCATCACAACAACATGATCACAAAAACACCAACCACGACCACCAACTACTACCACAAGAAACAAAATGCCTTAATAATAAGGACAATAAAGTGGATGCACATCATCACACAATACAAACCCACGACAAAAATATTGTAACCTAAAGTTCTTTAGTCATTTTAAGAACTTGTATATTAACACCTCCAAAATAGTGACTAAAAGAAACCCAACAAGCCATTTGAATTTGCTGCACTTTTTTTTACCCAATATGATGTTGACATATGATGCTTGAAGTGAACATAAATGCTTCTTCAAATCAGAAACCATGTTAGACAGATCGAG